AATCTTTATTATTTCCTTCCTTCTGCTGTTTTGGGGTTGTACTTGTTCTTCTTTTTCTAGCTCCTTTTGGCCTAAAGTTAGGTTTTTGAGCTTTTTCTTGCTTCTTGAGGTAGCCCTGTATTGCTATAAACTTCCCTCTTAGAACTGCTTTTGCTGCATCCCAAAGATTTTAGATCATTTTGTTTTCATATTCATTTGTTTCCATGTAACTTTTTATTTCTTTGATTTCTTGGTTGACCCACTCAGTGTGTACTAGCATGTTATTTAACTTCCACGTATTTGTGCTCTTTCCAGAGTCTTTCTTGTTAATTTCTAGTTTGATAGCGTGTGGTCAGAAAAGATGCATGGTATGCTTTGATCTTCTTGAATTTGTCAAGACTTGTTTTGTGGCCTAACATGTGATCTATTATGGAGAATGTTCCTTGTGTACTTGAAAAGAATGTGTAGTCTGATGTCTTAGGATGGAATGTTTGAATATATCTGGTGAATCCATCTGGTCCATTGTGTCATCATTCAAAGCCATTGTTTTCTTGTTGATTTTCTGTTTAGATAATGTGTCCATTGATGTAAGAGGGGTGTTAAAGTCCTTTACTATTATATTATTATCAATTAGTTCCTTTATGTTTGTTATTAACTGTTTTATGTATTTGGGTGCTTCTATGTTGGGTGTATAAATATGTACAATTATTATAGCCTCTTGTTGGATTGTCCCCTTTATTTTTATGTAGTGTCCTTCTTTGTCTCCTGTTACAGTCTTTGTTTTTTTGTTTTTTTTTTAAAGATTTTATTTATTTATTTGACAGAGAGAGACACAGCGAGAGAGGGAACACAAGCAGGGGGAGTGGGAGAGGGAGAAGCAGGCTCCCCGCAGAGCAGGGAGCCTGATGCGGGACTCGATCCCAGGACTGTGGGATCATGACCTGAGCTGAAGGTAGTCACTTAACCAACTGAGCCACCCAGGCGCCCTACAGTCTTTGTTTTAAAGTCTATTTTGTGGGGCACCTGGGTGGCTCAGTTGGTTAAGCATCCGCCTTTGGCTCAGGTCATTACCTCAGGGTCCTGGGATTGGATTCCCTGCTCAGTGGGGAGTCTGCTTCTCTCTCTCCCTCTGTGTGTGCTTTCTCTCTCTCAAATAAATTAATTAATTAAATATTTTTAAAAAAATCTATTTTGTCTGATGTAAGTACTGCTACCCCAGATTTCTTTTGGCATCCATTTGCATGATAAATATTTCTGCATCCCATCCACCCCCACACCCCACTTTCCAATCTGCAGGTCTCTCTTGGTCTGAAATGAGTCTCTTGTAGGCAGCATATAGATGGGTCTTTTTTTTTTTTTTTTTTTAAATCCACGCTGTCATCTCATGTCTTTTGACTGGAGCATTCAGTCCATTTATATTCAAAGTAATTATTGATAGATATGTATTTATTGCTATTTTGTTACTTGGTTTGTGGTTGTTTCTGTAGGTATTCTCTGATCCTTTCTTGCTCTCTTTCATGTTTTGTTGGCTTTCTTTGATATACTTGGATTCTTTTTTCTTTATTTGTTGCATATACATCATTGTTTTTGATTCATGGTTACCATTAGTTTTGTATATAACATCTTCTGCAAATAGCAGTGTATATTAAGTTGATGGTCACTTAGTTTAATCCCATTCTTTACTTCTCTGCCCCCCATGTTTTAGGTATATGGTGTCGTATTTTGCATCCTTTTATTTTATGAGTCCCTTGATTGATTTACAGAAATATTTATTTTTACTGCTTTTGTGTTTTTTACTTTTCATACTCTCACTGATGGTCTTTCTTTCCATTCAAAGTGTCCCCTTTAATATTTCTTGTAGGGCTGGTTTAGTGGTCCTGAACTGCTTCAGTTTTTGTCTGAGAAACTCTCTATCTCTCCTTCTCTTTTGAATGATAGCCTTGCTGGATAGAGTATTCTTGCCTGTAGAGTTTCCTTTTCAGCACTTTGCACACCAGAGGGGGGTGACATGAGATAGTCAAAGTTTCTGCTGAAAAATCAGCTTACAGCCTTATGGGGTTTCACTTGTATGTAACTGTCTTCTTTTTCTTTAAAAAACCTTGTTATCACTACTTTTTGCCATTTTAATTACCTTGTGTCTTGGTGTGGACTTCCTTGCATTGAATTTTGGTGGGAATCTCTGTGCCTTCTGGACCTGGATATCTGTGTCCTTTCCCAGATTAAGGAAGTTTTCAGCTATTATTTCTTCACATGAATTTTCTGCCCCCTTATTTCTATTTCTTCTGAGATCCCTATAATGTGGATGTTGTTATACTTGATGGAGTCACCGAGTTCCCTGAGACTATTCTCAATTTTAAGTAATTTTCTTTTCTCTCCTTTGCTCAGCTTGGTTACTTTCCATTACTCTGCCTTCCAGATCATTAATTTGTTCCTCTGCTTCATCTAGCATGCTATTTATGCCATCAAGTGTATTTTTAATTTCATTTATTGTGTTCATCTCTGACTTGTTCTTTTTTTAATATTTATAAGCTATATTTATTATTTTTCTGACCAAAGTACAATGATTTTTAAATCTCCGTAAATAACAACAACAACAACAAAAGTATTCAAGAACATAAAACACAAACGGGAAATTAACCATTAGATGTTTTTACTTCATACCAACCTGACATTTAGTCTAGAAAATAAACAAAAACACTTTGAAGCATTGCTAAAATGCTAACCAAATCATTTTATCATTTACATATCTTACCCTCAGAATTATGTCAGAATAAAGCTGACCGTTCTGCCAGAATCTGAATCCCTAGTGACTCCATCCCAATCCCTGGAAGCAAAGAAGATGCCCTGTCACACAACTTTATATAAGTTGTAATAAAACAAAACCTATGTTTTCTTACCTTCCTGTAGGAAACGGTCAGCCTTTTAATAAATACTAAAACACTCTTATGAGTTTGTTTCCAAACACATTTTACAAGAACCAACTACACAAAAAGTTTCTTTGGAATTTGGTCTACAAATTCACTTAACAGGTTGGAAATTTAAAACCTATAAGAAAATGAGGAAGTAGGGAATTCCTAATCCTAACCTGCTGCAATTATTAAAGGGATATACACACGTACTGAAAAGTTTTGCTCACAGACTGCACGAACTATAAAAGGGATATGCTTTTTGAGTAAAAACAAAGAACTAGCTGATATCCTTTTTTGTTTTTTATCTCTGTGTTAAGGGTCTCACTGATGCCCTCCACTCTTAAGTCCAGTGAGTATCTTTGAGATCATTACTTAAGTTCTCTTATCAGGCATATCACTTGTATCCATTTCACTTTGGTCTCTTTCTGTGGTTTGGTCCTGATCTTTCATTTGGGAGACGTTTCTGTCTCTTCATTTTGTCTAACTCTCTGTGTCCATTTAATTCTCTGTTAGGGAAGTCAGCTACTTCTCTTGCTCTTAATGGAAATAGTTCTATGAAGAAGAGGTCCTGTAGTGCCCCGCAGCAGTGTCCCCTGTCCCCTAGGACCTCGCGTGTCAGGAGTGTGTCCTATGTATGTTGTGCTGTGGAATCATGGTCTCTTTTTCCTTCAGTCCAGTGTCTGCAGAGGCTGTCTTTGCCTGTTGTGGGCCCTGAGGTGTGTGGTGGTCTGCTTGCAAAAGGAGACCTGCCCCACCATTGCTGGAAGTGATGTCCCCTGAGACCTGCAGTTCAGCGATGTGGTGCTAACAGGTTTGTACTGGTCTTTTGGGGGAAGGGGCCGCAGGGCCAGGACTGACGTGAGCAGGTCTGGGAAGGACAGATCTGCCCAAGCGTCAGGGGTTGGGGCTTGATGCAAGCACATTAGGAGCGTCGGTGCTGTGCTCTGTCCCGCAGGCGGCCATTGCTTATGCGGGGGTGTGTGTGGGGGACACAAGGGAGGGAAACTGCGCCTGCCAACTCCTCTCTTCCTGAAGTGGTCTCCCTGTGATCCCTGCCTCTCCAGGCCACACTCCAAGATGAGCAAATCCCTCACCCTCCCGACTGCCCCAGGCCTTTTCCAAACTGCTGGTTCTACACAGTATCTGCACAGGCTGTTTATCCCACTGTCTCTTTAGAGGGCGGGGACTCTGCTTCCTAACGTCCTCCAGTCTCTCCCAGGGCCAAGCCCGATGCTTTTTAAAATTCCAGGCAAGCCCTGCAGATGTTAAGTACTCATGAAATTCAGCCCCTGTACTATAAAAGGCAAATATTACAGAGATTCGTCCTCCCCGTTTATGGGCTCCCCAGTGTGAAGGTCTGTTTTCCGCCCTTCTCAGTGCCATCTGCTTTGCTCCCAGACCACATCTTCACCCTTCCTACCTTCCTCCATGTGGCCTCTTTCCTGTCTTGAGTTGCAGAGTTTGTTCTGGCAGTCTTTGGGTTGTTTGCTAGGTGATTTGTGCTGATATGGGTGTTATCTAGATGGATCTGTGGGATGAGGCCAACTTAGGGTCCTTCTACTCCACCATCTCCCCAGCCCTCTGGGTATTAATTTTGTATCCTGTAACTTTACTGAATTCATTTATTCTAGTAGTTTTTTGGTGATGTCATTAGGATTGTCTATGTAGAGTATCATGTCATCTGCAAAGAGTGACAGTTTAACTTCTTTACCAATACGGATGCCTCTTTTTTTCTCTTTTTGTTGTCTGCTTGCTATAGCTAAGACTTCCAGTATTATGTTGAATAAAAGTGAGAGTGGGCATCCTTGTCTTGTTCCTGATTTTGGAGGAAAAGTTCTGTTTTTCAGCATTGAATGTTAGCTATGGATTTGTCATATATGGCCTTTATTATATTGAGGTATGTTCCTTCTAAACCCACTTTACTGAGACTTTAAAATGAATGGATGTTGTACTTTGCCAAATGCTTTTTCTGCATCTATGGAGGTGATCATGTGATTTTTATGCTTTGTTTTGTTGATGTAGTGTATCATGTTTATTGATTTGCAAATATTAAACCATCCTTGCATCTCCAGAATAAATTCACCTTGATTGTGGTGAATGATTTTTTTTTTTTTCAGTATACAAATTGTCACAAATTTGAATGTCATTCTGACGCAGGGGCCATGCGAATCTCTATCATTCCAATTTTAGTATATGTGCTGTTGAAGTGAGCATGGTGAATAATCCTTTAACGTGTAGTTGAAAGCAGTTTCATATTTTGTGGAGGATTGTTTAAAAAGATCTTATTTACTTATTTGAGAGAGAGAGCATGAGAGTGCAAGGAAGGACAAGTGTTGGGGGGGTCGGGGGAAGGGCAGAGGGAGAGGGAGAAGCAGGCTCCCCACTGAACAGGGAGCCCGATGCAGGACTTGATCCCAGGCCCCCCAGGTCATGACCTGGGCCGAAGGCAGATGCTTAACCAGCTGAGCCACCGAGGTGCTATTTTTGTGGAGGATTTTTGCCTCTATGTTCATCAGGGATATTGGCCTATAGCATTTTTGTGGTGACTTTTGTTTGGGTATCAGGATGATCCTGGCTTCATAGAATAAATTTGGAAGCTTTCCTTTCTCTTCTATTTTTTTGGAATAGTTTGAGAAGAATGGGTATTACTCTTCTTTAAATGTTGGGCAGAATTCCCCTGTGAAGCAATCTGGTCTGGAACTTTTATTTTTTGGTAGGTTTTTTTTTGTTTGTTTTTGGTTTTTTTGAAGATTTTATTTATTCATTTGAGCGAGAGCACACATGTAAACACAAGCAGCGGGGAGAGGCAGAGGGAGAAGCAGACTCCTGCTGAGCAGGGAGCCAGATGCAGGGCCTGGAGATCACGACCTGAGCTGAAGGCAGATGTTCAACCAACTGAGCCACCCAGGTGCCCCTTTGGTAGATTTTTGAACACTAGGTCACTTTTGTTACTAGAAATTGGTCTCTTCAGGTTTTCTATTTCCTCCTGATTCAATTTTGGAAGATTATGTTTCTAGGAATGTATCCATTTCTTCTAGGTTGTCTAATTTGTTGGTATATAATTTTTTATAATATTTTCTTATAACCCTTTGTATTTCTGTCATGTTGGTTGTTACTCCTCTTCTTTCATTTCTCATTTTATTTATTTGAGTCCGTTCTCTTTTTTTCTTGATGAATCTGGCTAAGGGTTCATCAATTTTATCTTTTCAAGGAACCAGCTCTTAGTTTCATTAATTTTTTTTCTATTTTAAAAAATCTCTATACCTTTATTTCTGCTCTGATCTTTACTGTTTTCTTCCTTCTACTAACCTTGGGCTTTGTTATTTTTCTAATTCCTTTAGATGTAAAGTTAGGTTGTTTATTTGAGGTTTTTCTTGTTCCTTGAGGCAGGCCTGTATTACTATAAACTTCCCTCTTAGAACTGCTTTTGCTGCATCCCAAAGATTTTGGACCATTTGTGTTTTCATGTATTTTTTTCTTTATAACTTTGATTGCTTCATTGACCTATTGGTTGTTTAGTATCATGTTTATTAGCCTCCCCGTGTTTTGTGTTTTTTCCAGTTTTTTTCTTGTGATTGATTTCTAATTTTACACTGTTGTAGTCTGAAAAGATGCATGGTATGGTTTCAATCTTCTTAAATTTACTGCCATTTTTTTGTGGCCTATCATATGATCTATTCTGGAGAATATTCTGTATGTACTTGAAGATGTATTCTGTTTTTGTATGGTATGTTTGTATATATCTGTTATGTCCATCTGTCTAATGTTTCATTCAAAGACATGGTTTCCTTATTGATCTTTTTTTTTTTTTCTTCCTGGATGATCTGTCCATTGATGTAAGTGGGGTTTTAAGGTTCTCTACTATTATTGTATTATTATCAATTTATCTCTTCATGTCTGTTAATATTTGCTTTATATATTTAGGTACTCCACTGTTGGGTGCAGAGGTATTTACAATTGTTATGTCCTCTTGCTGGATTGATCCCTTCACTGTTATCTGAAGTGGTGTGGGCCTGGAGTATTCCAGCATGCTTTGCGCCTGTCACCTTGGCATAAATGCTAGAGCTATTGTGAGCGCTAACCGGGGGGGGTTCCCAGTGTGTACTGGCTGTGGTCACCTTGGTGGGACAGCTGGGGCTGGTATGGGCTAGGCCTGGGGACAGGCCGGTTAGGGCGCCTGGACTGTGCACTGGTCTATGCTGTCAGGGTGGAAGGCAGCATAAATTGTGTCCATCAGCCCCTCCCACCCGGAAAGTGTTCTAGCAGCAACCCTGCTGTTCGGCAGAATTTTCGGGCTGGCTCTTTTACATGCTGGTTGCTCTCTTAAACTGCTGTTTTTGTTTTTGTTTTTTTCCTGTGCCCAAGGATAGGAATCTGTTCCTGGTCCTCAGTACTATCTCTCCCCACAGACCCTTCATTACTGGGTCTCCATTTCTCTTGCTGTTCTCTTTTGCTGTTCTTCTGTTGTACAAAAGCTGTTCAGTTGGCCCTCAGTTCTTCCAGAGGAGTTGCTTTATAAATAGATGTAATTTGGTGTGTTCTGTGGAGAAAGTGAATTCAGAGTCTTTCTACATCACCATCTTGGATCAGATCTCCCCTGGCTGAATTGTTTTTTATTCTGGTTCTTTAAGGGCGAGGACTCAGATTCCCATTTCCGTCTGGCTCTCCTAGCATTAAGTCCCACTGATTTTTGAAGCTCCCAAAGTGAATCCGCACTGGTTCTCAAAGCCAGATGTTAGGAACTCATCTTCCCAGGACACATCCCCAGTGCTAGGGGTGCCTGGTGTGGGGTCTGATCCTCTCCCTTCTCTGTGCTTGTGGTGTCCCTCCTGTTTGTGGTTAGTCCTGCCAGGGGTTGGTTGTCTCCATACCTCCCACCCTTTTTGATGTGGCCTCTCTCTAGATTAACTGTGGTAGGTCTGTTCTTCTTGTCTTCAGGTCATTTTCAGAGTTCGTTGTATAGATGTAGCTGTTATCTCGTTGTGTCTGGGGGGTCAAGGTGAGCTCAGGATCCTCCAATCACCATCCTCTCTGACTCCCTTTAATGTTTGCTTTATATATCTGGTTGCTTCTCTACTGGGTATATAGATATTGACAATTGTTATGTCCTCTTGTTTGATTAATCTATTAGGTAAAGCCCTTCCTTGTCTCTTTGTCTGATACAAGTATTGCCACCCCAGACTTTTTTGTTTTCATTTACAAGGAATATCTTTCTCCATCCCTTCACTTTGTTGTTTTTGTTTTTTTTAGATTTATTTATTTATTTATTTTGTTGAAGATTTTACTTGACACAGAGAGACACAGTGAGAGAGGGAACACAAGCAGGGGGAGTGGGAGAGGGAGAAGCAGGCTTCCCGTGGAGCAGGGAGCCCAATGCGGGGCTCGATCCCAGGACCCTGGGATCGTGACCTGAGCCGAAGGCAGACGCTTAACCGACTGAGCCACCCAGGCGCCCCTAGATTTTATTTTTAAGTAATCTCTACACCCAACATGGGGCTCAAACCTACAACCTTGAGATCAAGAGTCACACACTATACCGACTGAGCCAGGCGCCTCATTCTGTGTCTTTAGGTCTGAGGTGAGACTCTTGTTAGGCAGCCTATAGATGGGGCTTATTTTTCATCCATTCAGTCATGCTGTCTTTTGATTGGATCATATAGCGCATTTCCATTTGAAGTGTCAATAGGTATGTACTTATTGCAATTTTTTTTAATTGCTTTCTGATTGTTTTGTAGTTCCTCTCTATTCCTTTCTTCTTCTCTTGCTCTCGGACTTTATTTAGTGTTAGGCTTGGACTCCTTTATTTTTTGTGTATCCTAAGTTTTTGGTTTGTGGTTACCACGAGGTTCATATATAACATCCTATGTATATAGCAGTCTTTTTTTTTTTTTTTTAAAGATTTTATTTGATAGAGACACAACAAGAGAGGGAACACAAGCAGGGAGAGTGGGAGAGGGAGAAGCAGGCTTCCCGCAGAGATGGGAGCCTGATGTGGGGCTTGATCCCAGGACCCTGGGATCATGACCTGAGCCAAAGGCAGACGCTTAACGACTGAGCCACCCAGGCGTCCCTGTATATAGCAGTCTATATTAAGTTGTGATGGTTAAGTTTGAATACATTCTAAAAGCACATTTTACTCCCTCCAAGTTTTATGTATATCCATGTCCTATTTTACATCTTTTTGATATTCCTTGAGTAATTTTTGTAGATATAATTTATATCTAAATATAATTTATACTACTTTCGTGTTTTAACCTTTATTCTAGCTTAGTCATTGATCTACTACCTTTCCTGTGTGTTTGCTTTTTTACCTGTGAAAATTTTTCCTTTCATAATTTTCTTCTAGTTTATGGCCTTTTTTCACTGAAGTCTCTAACCTTGCTTGTAAGGCCGGTTTAGTGGGGATGAACTCCTTTCACCTTTGTTTGGGGAAACTCTCTCTAATGAATTTGCTTGTCATCCTCATGCAGAGGCCATGCTAAACTTCTCTGTCATGCTGCAGTGTTTAGTATATGACGTGCCGAAGCGAGCACCTCATCTCCCTTTCACTTCTGAATGATAACCTTGCTGGGTGGAGTATTCCTCACTGCAGGTTTTTTCCTTTCAGCATTTTGAGGATATCAGGACAATCCCTTCTGGCCTGTAAAGTTTCTGCAGAAATGTGGGTTATCTTTTCTTTCTGGTTGCTTTTAAGATTTTTTTCTTTGCTTTTGTTGTTCTGCAGTTTATTTACCCTTGGTTTGTTTTATTTCCCAAATTTGAAGATTCATGACTTTTATTAATAGTTTCCAGTCATTATTAACACTTTTAATATGGTCTTGCTCCTATAATACACTCTTTTCTTTTAGAACTTCTAGGCATACACTGAATCTTCTTATTCAATTTTTCATCACTACTGCGTTCAGGATAATTTCCTTAGTTTCATTTTTATAGTTTATTCATTGTCTCGTGAATTCTATGTACTATTTAATTTCTACACCAACTTTTTTATACTGAATTTTTAAGTATTTTTCACTTCTGGAAGTTCTCTTTAGTTTTTTGTTAGCTTCCTTAAGTATCTATCACTTTTTTATTTTATTTTTTTAAAGATTTCATTTATTTATTTGACAGAGAGCACAAGCAGGGGGAGCTGCAGGCTGAGGAAGAGAAAGAAGCAGGCTCCCCGCTGAGCAGGGAGCCCGATGTGGGGCTCAATCCCAGGACCCCGGGATCATGACCTGAACTGAAGGCAGCCACTTAACTGACTGAGCCATCCAGGCGCCCTTGTCTATCACTTTTTTTTTTTTTAAGATTATTTATTTGATAGAGAGAGACACAGCGGAAGAGGGAACACAAGCAGGGGGACTGGGAGAGGGGGAAGCAGGCTTCCCGCAGAGCAGGGAGCCCGATGCGGGATTCGATCCCAGGATCCTGGGATCATGACCTGAGCCGAAGGCAGACGCCCAACGACTGAGCCATCCAGGCGCCCCTGTTGATCAGTTTAAACATGTTTTTGGAGTCTTTATTTGGTAAATCTATTATCTAAAGTCCTCGGGAGGGGTTGTTAATCATGCCATTCATTGCCTTCTGACTTTTACTCATGGGGGTTGTTTCCATGTGTGTTCTGTAATTCTGAACTGTGAGCTGAACATCACTGCGGTTTTTTATGTGTGTATCCCATTCAGCCTGAATTAGGCACACCTCTCCAGAAACAGAATGTAATTCTCTTTCCTTTTGCCAAGTGCCACCCAAATAATTCTCAAAATAACCCCCAGAATAAATTCACAGGCTTCTGAGGCCATGTAGGTAGTGTAATTTTGAATCTCCAGTAAGTCTGTGGTAACAAATTCCAGGAATGACCGTCTCTGCACCAAGAGCATAAGCTAAGACAAGGACTAGTTTATTCTTTACTGAGGGTGAGTCTCTTTAAGAATCCTGGCTATGTGTGTGGCTCCCAATTCAATGCCTCGCCTTGCAGAAACCTAAGACTTTACCTCTTGTGCATGTGGAACCTTTGAAATCCGGGCACCCTAGTTCCAAGGACCAGGAACTGTCTTTATGCCCAGGCAGTCATGGTATCAACCATGTATCTGGCTATTCTTTTATTTCCTATTTTTGGCCCCTGGGGATTACTCTCACTATAAAATCTTTTAGTATCAGCCATGCATTTCAAAGTGTGTTTACCAAGTTTATCCAACTTTCCTTAGTTTTGTAACTAAGGCTTTCACGCAAATTGTCTGCCATTAACTGTTGAAATTTAAGTCTAGAAAGATGCTTTACCTTCTATTATGTCAAAAAAATTTTTTTACATAAAGTTATCCAAACTGAACATAATACTCTAGCTGTGATTAGTTTGATCCATTCAGAACAAGAATACTTCGTCTTCTGGATACTACATATCCACCAAATGTCTTTTTCTCCAATTACATCATACTATCATGGGCACCATTTTATAAATAAGGAAGCTGAAGCATGTCAGCTTAAGGTCACAGGGCAAGGACCAGGACTAGAGCTTGGATCTTTTAAGTGTCAGCTTTGAGATATTTTTGTAACATGTAACGTGAGAGGTAGGGAAAATGAAGGTCTAAGGGAACATTTAGTAAGTACCGCCTATGTGCTAGTTCTGTAATACCAAAGATACCGGATAACTGCTGTATAAGATGTGTCTTATTACCCCATTTTCACAGATGGGGAAATTAAAGCTCAGAAGGTTTAAATAATTTTCTTAAGGTCATTGTGCAGTATTAGAGCTGAATTCAGTCAGAAATGATTATAAAAATCCATCTCCTGGGACGCCTGGGTGGCTCAGTCGGTTAAGCATCTGCCTTCAACTCAGATCATGATCCCAGAATCCTGGGATCAAGCCCCGCACTGGGTTCTCTGCTCATGGGCGAGCCTGCTTCTCCCTCTCCCTGCCGCTACCCCGCTTGTCCTGACAAATAAATAAATAAAAAAAATAAAATAAAAAAATAAAACCTTTCCTCTATACCAGGGGTCAGCAAACTTACTCTGTAAAAGGCCAGATAGTAAATATTTTAGGCTTCATGGGCCATATGGTCTCTTTTGCAACTATTCAGCTTTACTGTTGTATTTTGAAAGCAGCCACTGAGTAACGAAACGAATGAGCATGGCTGTGTCCTCATAAAACTTTATTTACTGAAATTTGAGTTTTATATAATTTTCACATGTCACAAAATATTTTTATTTTTTCAACCATACAAAATATGAAATGCATTCTTAACTCCCAGGCCACGCAAAAACAGGCTGCATTTGGCCCAAGGGCAACCGGTTTGTTACCTCTGCTCTACATCATCCATCTGCTGAGAAGTGGGGTTCTCCAGCATCTGTTTCAAACATTCCTTTACTGGGTTAGGAAAGACATGGGGAAAAAGAGAATGGAACAGGTTCTTCTTTGGATGCTACATGACTAAGGGGGTTGTTGCTGCCCAAGCTCCTCAGATTGTGTTGTAGCAATATGCAGTTGTTTAAACGTCTTGTCCCAACGTTGTCTTTTTTTCATGTCTCTCCTTAGCCTATCTTCAAAATTAAACTGTAAGCTCATTTAGGAAAGAGCACTTTTCTTATTTTACAATTTCCTTTAATCTTTAATAGTCTATGTGTAGCAGGTGCTCAGTATTCAATGATATTCGATGCTGCCAAATACTATCCTATTTCATTCACGGGCTCTTTACATAGTCAATGGGCCCAATATATAAGCAGTTCAATGAATGAAAAATAATATAGCAGTTAGGCCATATGTAGGATTTAACAATATTACTACTTCCTTTTAACTTAGCGTAAGGGACAATTATGAAAAATATTCTTGGCCCTACCTTTTTTGTTCCAATAGAATTATTTGCATGTGAATACTAAGTCCGACATTCCTTCTTCCCCTAGAACCACTTCGGTGACCTGGATGGTGGCCACTACACTGCTTTCTGCAAGAACTCAGTGACCCAGGCCTGGTATAGCTTTGATGACACACGAGTCAGTGAGATTCCAGATACTTCAGTTCAAACTGCTACAGCCTATCTCCTGTTCTATAGCTGCCAGCCCTTTTCTATACCTATAAAAAAACGCAAGAGCTAGGAAAAATGCTATTTCCTGAAAATTGCAAAACAAGCAATCAGAAACTGGTACTTAAGTTTTGCTTTGTCATTAAACTCTTGCAACTTATTTGCATCACTGACATTTTTAAGTCTTGTATATTGTGTACCCTTTTATATGATAAGGCTCTACCAAAGAAGATAGGTCTGGGCCTACCAAAAAAGGCAGCATGAAAATAATGAAATGTTAATCGATGGGGACCTTCAAAGCACTGCAAATTATGTATCAATTTCAGGCTTCAAAATTCAATGTTTATTAAGGTGAATTCTTTATCATAGAGTATCTCAATTACATATATCCACCAAATTATTTTCCAAAGATACTTTATGGAGCTGAACCAAAGTAAGTTTTGTTCAAGTGGCTCTGTGACCTTAAGAATATGATTTAAAATATTTAATTGATCAGACAATTTAGCCAAGAGCTCTAATAATTAGTCTCTTAGACCAACTGCAGAACATGAAAGGTTGCCAACCTCACAATTCAAAACCCATCCTTTCATCCTCTCCCTGACAGTCCATTCAGAAGTACCTTTTACAATCTTATTTTTATATGGAGAGTTTTTATTTCATCTATAGCACCTGAGTCCATGAGGTAATAATAAATTCTAAGCTCCTCTATCTCTTTGAATACATCATTTTGTAAAGGTGTGGTTCTTAATGCGGTTCACTTTGCAGTCATGTCTGATTCCTATCCCTTTCTATTTTAATTCTGACTCCCAACTCTGAGAATCCTATGCAGTTTTGGATCAAGTTGAAGGCAGAGTAAAGTCAGGTCCTAATGCAACAGGGTAAATGAACTAAATATTAAGTCAATATAGTAGGATCGTGTGTGTGTGTGTATAAAATGGTTTGCTAATATAAAATTAAAGACAGAACACTTACAGGGTTTTAAATTATTTTTCTCATTAAGATTTTAATGTAGGTGTAAATGAAAATTCTCATTTTAAAAAATTAAAGAAAAGTTTCCATTTTTTTTTTTTTTTAGAATAAAGATTTAGTGCACAAATACAGCCCAAAGCCAACAAAAAAATAGCTTTGCCCTGTCATTTCCCTAAGAAAGCACTGCAGTTACTCAGAATAGGCCAAAAGAAAAACAATCCTCTGAGTTCTAGGCTTCACAAAAGGACCACATATTATACTATGTACATTGATTGATGTGCAAGTGTGCAATAAATATATACACATACATTCCTATCTGCTTTACATCATTCTAGAGTATTCATAGATCAAGCTGGGATTTAGAAATGTGAAAAGGCCATACAGTGAAAAGGAAAATAAAGGATATAATGGTTTTTAGAATAGAATGCTATAGAATAATAATGCTTAGCTAGTTAATTACTTTAACTTTGGAGCAAACTATAAAGGTTTGGAAATAAATGGTACCTGTAAGGAGTGCTTACTGCGATACTTGTTACATATTAGTCAATTTTTCGATAATAGCACTGACCT